AGAGACAGAGAGAGATAGAAACATCAATGATGACAGAGAATCATTGATCGGCTGCCTCCTGCACGTGCCCAACTGGGGATCGAGCCCGCAATCCAGGCTTGTTCCCTTGATCAGAATCAAACCTGGGACCCTTCAGGGCACAGTTCAATGCTCTATCCACTGAGCCAAACCAGCTAGGGCGAGGGTTTGCATTTTTAAAAAACACTACTTGCCCTGACCTGGTGGCTCAGTTAGTGGAGCATCATCCCATACACCAGAAGGTTGTGGATTCAATTGTGATCAATGTTTCCTTCTCTCTCTCTCTCTCTCTCTCTCTCTCTCTCTCTCTCTCTCTCTTTCTCTCGCTCTCTCTGCCTTCCTCTCTCTAGGATCAATCATATGATAAACTTTAAAATACTCTGGTGAGGATTAAAAAATTTTTTTTAAAGAACACTATTCATGCCCAGCCGGCCTGCCTCTGTGGTTGAGCATCGACCTATGAACCAGGAGGTCAAGGTTCGATTCCTGGTCAGGACACATGCCTGGGTTGCCCAGTAGGGGACATGCAGGAGGCAGCCGATCAATAATTCTCTCTCTCTCTCTCTCTTTTTTAATATATTTTTATTGATTTCAGAAAGGAAAAGGGAGAGAGAGGTAGAAACATCAATGATGAGAGTGCCGGGGTTCTTGTTCCAGCATCTAGAAGGGTTCAGCAATCTGGAGAAGCGGCTGTGTGTAACTTAATAAAGAGTCCAGAGACGAAGCATAATTTTGAAAGGCATTTGGGGGTCAGATCCCCTCGTCTCAGGACCCCATGCATTTTAGTAACACAAATTGTCCTCAGACAAGGCAGAGATATACACTTCAAAGGGTCAGGGTTTGATACAGAGTCCATTGTCAGATTTGGGAAAACACCTACGGCTGTTCAGGTGTTTGGCCAGTAGCAGGCAATAGCATGTAGATTAAGATGCCCTGGGCTGGCAGCAAACAATCAATTTAATGCATCCTTTTCAGGTTTGGGTAAATGCCTTTCAGCCACTCCAGATTCAGCCCTGCTGAACATGCTGGAATTGGCTTCCAGCATGAGAGAAATCATTGATGGACTGCCTCCTGCATGCCCCATACTGGGGATGGAGCCTGCAATCTGGGCATGTGCCCTTGGCCGGAATTGAACCGGGGACCCTACATTCCACAGACCGACACTCTACCCACTGAGAAAAACCAGCTAGGGCAATGATTCTCTCTCTTCATTGATGTTTCTATCTCTCACTCCCTCTCCCTTTCTCTCTGAAATCAATAAAAATATTTTTTTTAAAAAAGAAAGAACACTATTCACCCTGGCTGGTTGCTCAGTGGTTAGATTGTCAGCCCATTGACCGAAGGTTCTCTGGTTCAATTCTGGTCAAGGGTACATGCATGGGTTGCAGACTTGATCCCCAGCCCCAGTCAGGTTGTGTGTGGAAAGCAATCAATCAATGTCTCTCTCACATTGATGTTTCTCTCCCCCCGCACCTCTTTCTCTCTCGCTCCCTTTTCCCTCTCCCCCATCCCTTCCACTCTCTCTGAAAATCTATGGAAAAAATTCCCTCAAGTGAGGATTAAAATAAAGGAAACAAAAAAGAACACTATCCTTTCATTCTGGTCCCCTAGGATTCGATCCATGAGAAGAACAGCGCGCTCCCTGCCCAGGGTGACTCCACTTACCTCCAGGAGGATGGCCAGTTCCTTGGGGAGTGTCTGCCCAGGTGCAGTAGGGACCCTGGCCTGGAGGCCTCTATTGAGTACCTCCAGGAGACAGCCCGGATCCGCCTCTGCCTAGACCGGGCCTGCGAGGTCCTCTCCAAGCTGCTGGAAGGCTCAGGCAAGTCTCCACTGTCCTTCCTCTCCTTGGCTCAGAAATCCCTGGATGTGTGTGTGTGTGTGTGTGTGTGTGTCGGGGGGTGGGGGCGGGCACAGGAGTCCTCAGGATGACTCGGCCCTTCTTCCTGCTCGGTGGTCTGCCGGGGCCCTGTCTCACATGCTCCGCATCTAGGACAGGGATGTGATGCTGTCAGCCCTGCACTGACCACACTCTCCGTGGCCCACAGAGCTGGCGGAGGAGCAGCGGCAGTTCCTGCGGCAGGTGGAGCGCTTCTGCACGCAGAGCGGGAATGACTGGTACCGCGTGTACCTGGTGCGCAGGCTCGTGAGCCGCCAGGGCATGGAGTTTGTGCAGAGCTTTCTGCAGCCAGACCACCCCGCCCAGTGGGTGTTCCCCCAGGAAGTCCAGGCGCAGCAGGTGAGGAGCCCCGTAGCAGCCACGCCTCTAGGCACCCTTCCCCTCCCCCCTTACCCCCAGGGAATGGACTGCATCTGTCTCCAGGGATCCCCTCGCGGGCCATGACCTTCAGCAGCCCGCGAGAAGGGAAGGGGCGTGCTTACGAGGGCTGCTCACCACCCGCCTGCAAAGCTGGTTTAGGCGTCATGACGCGAGGAGCCAGACAGGAAAAGTGGGAGGAGGCTCCATGGAGTTGCCTCTGAGCAGTGAAGTCCCTGGGCTCATGGGACTGTCCCATGCTTAGAAATGAACACGTTCTTACTGTTGCTGGGTATGAAATGGCACTAGAAACCCTGGCTGTTTTACTGTCACCTGGAGCTCAGGGCCCCTGGCCTCTGGTGCTGCTGTGAGTGGAGCAGGCAGCACCGCAGGTGGGCATCACCTCCTCGCCCCCCTGACACCACCCTCCGTGCACCCAGCCCTGCACTGCCTGGCCTGGGGCCAACCTGGAACCCCAGGTTCGTGCCCCTGAACCTCCAATGATGACAGGCTTCCATACCTCGCTCACAGTTCTCTGCTAAACCTCCCCCCTCTGCCCCCACCTTGGAGAACCCTGTGCTCCCGGGATTGCAGGAGGACCTTCTGGGCCAGATGGACCGCTATCTGGTGCATGGGCAGGAGTACAAGGCCGTCCGTGATGCAGTGGGCAAGGCCGTCCTGGAGTGCAAGCCCCGGGCCATTGCGGCTGCCCTGGAGGTAGGATGCTCCTGTTGGGGCCCCTGGGAACACTCTTGCTCCTGGGTTAGGTGAGACCATACAGGGGAGGATGTCCGGGGGACTGCGCCAGCAGTCACAGGTCCTGGCCTTCCCGAACATCGGTCCAGCCAGGACAGCAGCCACAGTCAAGCTGAGTGCGCAGATCTGCTCTCCTGGAGGGCAGCTGGGGCTGTCGGTGCCCACAGGTCCCTGGCGCTGCGTCTGTGTTGTCACTTCCACCGAGATCGCTCCTCTGGACACAGCCAGCAGCGCTCGCCTCCACATGGAGTCAGTCCTGCGGATGCTGATTATGTGCGCACGTGGCCCTCGGCGCTTATTTTAAGAACGATGCAGGGTTTTTGGAATCTTGTCTTTAAAGTGTTCTGGGCTTCCTTTGTGAGCCACACGTACCCTGGCATCGTGCCAGGAAAAGAAAAGGCCTTTCCTGGGCTCAGGGAGAGATTTGGGGACCATGATGTCATCATAAAGGGGACAGATGGTGATGAGCTCCCGTCATGAGGCCTCTGGCACATGCGCAGGGAGTTTGGTGACTGTTTGATGGAGCTCGTGGTCTAGGAGCCATTGCCCTGAGGTGGACCCTCAGCTGCAGGCTGCAGGGTCTTGGGAAGGTCTCTTCCCCTCTCATGGGTGGGGGCCCATGGGTGGTGCGGACCTCGCTGCCCAGCCTCCCATGTTATCCTTGCCCCCCAGGCCTGCAGGGGCTCCCAGACTCACCAGGCCACATACCTGCTGCTGGCGCTCTTCCGAGAGGTGACCACGCTGTACAGGTCCCAAAACACCCACCTGCATCCCAAGCCGCAGGTGAGTGCCAGCCTCGGGGCTGGGATGGCGGTCCTAGGGTTTGCAGAGACTTTCTGAATAGAGGTGAATGTCACAAACATGGCCTGGCCTCTGTGGCTCAGTGAACAGAGCTCCGGCCTATCCACCAAAGGGTCACCGGTTGGATCCCTATACCCGGGTTGCAGGTTCATTCCTTGCAGGCGAACATGTGCAGGAGGCAACAATTGTGTCTCTCACATCGCTGTATCTCTCTCCCACCCCCACTCTCTCTAAAAAGCAATGGGAAAAGTATATCCTCAGGTGATGATTAACCTGAAAGTCACAAACACAAATTATACCTGTCTGTTTTATCTGGGATGTGGGTTTCTCCCTTCTTGCACGGAGGGGTTAATTTCTGTTTTAACCAAAGCTTTTAGAATTACAGTTAAAACTAAAGCAAGAAGGTAAGTGCTTGGGCCTGGGCTGCTGTCCACACGTGAACTTTTCCCTTGCAGACAGTCCCCTTCAGTGGCAGCGACTTAGCCCTGTTTACCATGACATCCGATAGCCATCTGGTATCAAATGGGGGGGGGGGGCCTGACTTAAGAGCAAACCTTTTGATTCACGGCATATTCTTCCTCATGTTTTAACATTGAACCACCTTCTCCCTTAGGAACTCAAGGCCCTTGGCAAGTTCATCAAAGAAAGCCAGACCCTGTCCCCAGACATGAGAGATTTTGCGACAGGCCTTGTGACCAACGATCTGCCACTGCTGAGGACCGCGGGGCCCGGAGACGGCGGCCTGGCGGGCATGGTGACTGAGCTGGCCGTTCACACTGCCGCCACCCTCCTCTGTGGGCAGCACAGGGTCTTGGAGCCCCTCAGGAACTTGGCCTTCTCTCCAGCCACCATGGCGGTAAGACACCAGCCATGCAGGGACCCCAGGGTGGGCTTGTTATGCAGAGACCCTGTCTGTGCAGGAGACTGTTGAACCCATCTGTGTCCTTGAGCCCCCATCTGCCTGCATCTCACCCGATCCCGATGCCCAGTGTGGGAGAATCAGGCCTCCCCCTGTTGCTTCACAGAGAGCTGTTATCTTTCTGCACAGACAGCTCCCGAGGCCCGGGAGAGGGGAAGCCAGGCCTCCTGCCGTCTGCTGTGTCTAACGGTGGCTCTGATTTCTCTGTGTTTCAGAGGGCATTTCTCCCGACGATGCCCCAGGACATGCTGGCGCAGGCCAGGAGCTGGAAGGGTCTGGAACGCGTCCAGTGGTACAGTACGTGTCCTGTCCCATGGTCCCAGTCCTCTGAGCTTTGACGAGCTTCCTGGTGCCATGTGAGCCCTTGGCTCAGAGCAGGGGCCCACATGGTTGGTGCCACATGGCGGGACAGGCATGGTGTGCAGAGTATAGATGAGCTTGCGCCTTTCCTGGTCAGGCAAGGCCTCATGAGGTCCTGTTCCCTTCATCCTGCTGCCTGGAGAGCAGGGGACTGGGAGCCATGCCCGAGGCTCAGCCCCAACGCAGCCATGCGTGGGGCCCTAAGGCAGTTATCTTAGGAAAATGAAACTGGGAAACAGAGCAATATAGCCCATGGCTTTGTGAAGTCTGCGGGCTGAGTGAATAGTCCTTCAATCTGGAAGAAAGCATGCTCAGGACAGAGAACCAGATCAGAGAGCGGACGTGTATAAAGTGTCTCCCACCTGCCTCCCCAGCAGCCCTGGCTCTGCGTGGAGTTGGCCTCT